GATTGAAACCCTAATTGTGGGGGTGATCCCTATATAAGGAACATTATGGCCTCACTTTTAGCCACCATTTCCAGAGAGCAAAACCCTAAGTGTTCCCTAACCCTCGTTCTAGAGCTTGTGTGAATGTGGTTGAGTTTGAAAGTGTTCTTGAGTGCTTTTAAAGAGAAGGAGGTGCTATTGAAGGGACTAGAGTTGGAGGGTAGGCTTTGGATCTGAGTTTTCTGAAGTTTGAGCATCAGTTGGAGGTAAAAAGATCAGAGCTTTCTCAACCTTTTTGATTTGTGCATTATGGACCATTTCTAGGGTTTTTGTAGCAAAGGTGGAGACTTTATGAGTAAAGGAGCTCTATAGACCTTGAGCAGCCCATATTTAGTGTATAATGTGATATAGTTCCATAAAAATCCAATCTTGGACGTTAGGAGTGAGCCATGCATGAGATATGAGCTACTTAGTGAAGGAAGTGGTGTGATTTGGATGATGATGACCTTTACAGCCATGCAATGGCGTAAAGTAACTGGATTTATGGATTAAGAGGCATTAGAGTGACCATATATGGGATATGAGCTTGTGTCTTAATCGATTAAGAACAAAAATCATGAAGATTGTGAAAACCGGGCGTAATCCCAGTACGCGCAACGTAGGGGTCGAGTGTCCCCGATTCTGTATAGCATCTGAGTACGCCCAACGTACAGAGTTGTTATGCGCCACATACTCCTTAGGGTTGACTTTCGTTGACTTTTAGGGTTTAGTCAACAAGTGGAACTTTGGACCATTGGAGGGGTAGAATGGTCTTTTAACCTTCTGAGAGAGCATAGGAAAGGATTAGTCTAGCCTTTGAGAGCCATTATTAATTAGATATAATTTCTGTTTGTGATTAGGCGGAGGCTAGATCAGTGTTTTGAGTTCGAGATCATTCGAGTTTACCCGAGGTGAGTCTTCTCACTATACAGTACCGAGGGTGCTATCTATGTGTGGACCGAAAGGTCATACGTGTTTGCTTGAGATTATGTGTTTTGTGATTATGTATGCTATGTGCTATTTTGACCGGACCGGAGGGTTCAAAGATTTACTAGGCCAGAGGGTCTTCAATCAGACCGCACCGGAGGCTCTAATGAGCTAGATCGGACCAGAGGGTCCAACGAGCTACGAGACTGGAGGATCTCGCTGAGATACATTGACCAGAGGGTCTTACAGAGTATAGCCTCGAGTGGCAAAATTTTGTATGAGGTATTTTGCAGAACTCACTAAGCATTCGTGCTTACCATGTTATGTGTTATGTGTTATGTGTTAAAGGTACCCTAGAGCATCGTGGGAAGGCATCAGCGTGATTGTACACACACACACTTTTGATATGGAGCTATGTTTGTGGATCTTGGATTCGAATAATTTTTTTGAAAACTTGTTGTCTGATTATGAGGATTAATGTTGAGACATATGTTTTATAGAATTAAAAATGAAAATTTTCGTTGAATTTTTTTTTGTGTTTACATAAAGTCCGTTAAAAATTCATAACTTTTTCATCCGACATCCATTTTCGACTGTCTTTATATCGTTGAGTTTCTATTAACAACATCTTCGATTCTCATTTAGATTTTGTCGGCTAACAATCGATCGATCTAAAATATGATTTCCAGGCTGTATACTGTTATGCTAAATCTTAGAAAAATCATAACTTCCTCATACGAAGTCAAACTTGGACGTTCTCTATATGCCCGATTTTGGTTTAACGTCTTCTACGAATTTCATTTTGATCGACAAGGCTAAAAAGTAGTTTATCAAAAATTCAGTTTTTACGATACACAACGCCGTGCCGGTTTTGTCGTAAAACTTCGATGGGTCATAACTTTTTCATTATAAGTCAAATTTCAACGTTCTTTATATGTACGGAATCTTTGTGACATATACTATAAGTCGGTTAAGATTATTTACTCTACATAATCTTCTATAAAAAAAGTCATTTTTTGATGCTTATTGCCTTTAAATTTATTAGCCCGAATCTGCGACGTTACAATTGTGAACTTGTTAAACCATCAATAGTTGTTAAATCCCAATATGCTAAAGCAAAAAACATAAGCATTCGTATTATATTTAAAGCAGATGTTTTGTTTCAAATAAGCATATAATCCTAATACTATCATTATTTGTGTAAAACAAGTACACAATCATTCAAATGATAGCAAAAAACATAATGTCAAAAATAAGTTCAAGAAACACATAATTGTTCAAATTGAAAGAAAAAACGTAAGCATAAAGGCTACTTAAACATCCCTAATGTGGTGTCAGTCATCTTTATCCACCCTTTTAAGATCTCAGGTATCTAGTGGTGGAGAATTGTAATATCCCAGAATTCAGGTATATCTCTTTGATCCTTTTCTTTCCGCAAGATGTCAAAATTAGTCCTTGAAAATAATGTATGGTTTTTGAGTACGCTGGGCATAAGGGAGAGTACGCTGCGCGTACTCATTAGCGTGTTCGTGACACAGAGGCTACCCAGTACGCGGGGCGTACCATAGTGTACGCTGTACGTACTAGGTTCAGATTGAAACCCTAATTGTGGGGGTGATCCCTATATAAGGAACATTATGGCCTCACTTTTAGCCACCATTTCCAGAGAGCAAAACCCTAAGTGTTCCCTAACCCTCGTTCTAGAGCTTGTGTGAATGTGGTTGAGTTTGAAAGTGTTCTTGAGTGCTTTTAAAGAGAAGGAGGTGCTATTGAAGGGACTAGAGTTGGAGGGCAGGCTTTGGATATGAGTTTTCTGAAGTTGGAGCATCAGTTGGAGGTAAAAAGATCAGAGCTTTCTCAACCTTTTTGATTTGTGCATTATGGACCATTTCTAGGGTTGTTGTCCCAAAGGTGGAGACTTTATGAGTAAAGGAGCTCTATAGACATTGAGCAACCCATATTTAGTATATAATGTGATATAGTTCCATAAAAATCCAATCTTGGACGTTAAGAGTGAGCCATGCATGAGATATGAGCTCCTTAGTGAAGGAAGTGGTGTGATTTGGATGATGATGACCTTTACAGCCATGCAATGGCGTAAAGTAACTGGATTTATGGATTAAGAGGCATTAGAGTGACCATATATGGGATATGAGCTTGTGTCTTAATCGATTAAGAACAAAAATCATGAAGATTGTGAAAACTGGGCGTACGCTGGGCGTAATCCCAGTACGCGCAACATAGGGGTCGAGTGTCCCCGATTCTGTATAGCATCTGAGTACACCCAACGTACAGAGTTGTTATGCGCCACATACTCCTTAGGGTTGACTTTCGTTGACTTTTAGGGTTTAGTCAACAAGTGGAACTTTGGACCATTGGAGGGGTAGAATGGTCTTTTAACCTTCTGAGAGAGCATAGGAAAGGATTAGTCTAGCCTTTGAGAGCCATTATTAATTAGAGATAATTTTTGTTTGTGATTAGGCGGAGGCTAGATCAGTGTTTTGAGTTCGAGATCATTCGAGTTTACCCGAGGTGAGTCTTCTTACTATACAGTACCGAGGGTGCTATCTATGTGTGGACCGAAAGGTCATACGTGTTTGCTTGAGATTATGTGTTTTGTGATTATGTATGCTATGTGCTATTTTGACCGGACCGGAGGGTTCAAAGATTTACTAGGCCAGAGGGTCTTCAATCAGATCGGACCGGAGGCTCTAATGAGCTAGATCGGACCAGAGGGTCCAACGAGCTACGAGACTGGAGGATCTCGCTGAGATACATTGACCAGAGGGTCTTACAGAGTATAGCCTCGAGTGGCAAAATGTTGTATGAGGTATTTTGCAGAACTCACTAAGCATTCGTGCTTACCATGTTATGTGTTATGTGTTATGTGTTAAAGGTACCCTAGAGCATCGTGGGAAGGCATCGGCGTGATTGTACACACACACTTTTGATATGGAGCTATGTTTGTGGATCTTGGATTCGAATAATTTTTTTGAAAATTTGTTGTCTGATTATGAGGATTAATGTTGAGACATATGTTTTATAGAATTAAAAATGAAAATTTTCGTTGAATTTTTTTTGTGTGATTACATAAAGTCCGTTAAAAATTCATAACTTTTTCATCCGACATCCATTTTCGACTGTCTTTATATCGTTGAGTTTCTATTAACGACATCTTCGATTCTCATTTAGATTTTGTCAGCTAACAATCGATCGATTTAAAATTGGATTTCCAGGCTGTATACTGTTATGCTAAATCTTAGAAAAATCATAACTTCCTCATACGAAGTCAAACTTGGACGTTCTCTATATGCTCGATTTTGGTTTAACGTCTTCTACGAATTTCATTTTGATCGACAAGGCTAAAAAGTAGTTTATCAAAAATTCAGTTTTTACGATACACGACGCCGTGCCGGTTTTGTCGTAAAACTTCGATGGGTCATAACTTTTTCATTATAAGTCAAATTTCAACGTTCTTTATATGTACGGAATCTTTGTGACATATACTATAAGTCGGTTAAGATTATTTACTCTACATAATCTTCTATAAAAAAAAGTCATTTTTTGATGGTTATTGCCTTTAAATTTACTAGCCCGAATCTGCGGCGTTACAATTGTGAACTTGTTAAACCATCAATAGTTGTTAAATCCCAATATGCTAAAGCAAAAAACATAAGCATTCGTATTATATTTAAAGCACACATTTTATTTCAAATAAGCATATAATCCTAATACTATCATTATTTGTGTAAAACAAGTACACAATCATTCAAATGATAGCAAAAAACATAATGTCAAAAATAAGTTCAAGAAACACATAATTGTTCAAATTGAAAGAAAAAACGTAAGCATAAAGGCTACTTAAACATCCCTAATGTGGTGTCAGTCATCTTTATCCACCCTTTTAAGATCTCAGGTATCGGTGGCAATGTCATCCATGCCTCTATCATATTCATGGACATTCCAAAAAGGTGAAAGGATGCCAAAACTATAGGATCAATTGGGTCTAATCCAACTAGCTTCAACCTCTCATGACATTCTTCTACTACTGGCCCTTACTTGCTGTTCACCAAATGTTGCAGAGCTTTATGCATATCAAGACTCAAATCATTAAGACTAATAGAGGTTTTAGAGGCTTTATCCATATCGGTCCTATCAGTAGAAGCATCATTGGTTTTAACCCTTTTATCGAACCTATACGTAGAAGCACCATATGCTTTATCACTAGGAGCTCGAGCACTAGTGTCATTGGAAGCGTCATCATCATCATCTTCTAGGCCATTAAAAGGGTTGTCATCAGTCAGAATTCTTTGGACACGATGAGAAGAAGATGATGTATCTGCGAGTGTCGTTTTAGTAGAGGTCCATTTATTGCTACTGCTGGCACTACCTCCATCAAACAAAGATGCACAAAGGTTGGGATAAGGCAATGTGTGTGTCCTCAATGATCCTGCCTTTGGATGACCCTAAACCAAGGTTAATAGTAATTATAAGTATTCTGACATCATTACTAAAATTGGACATAAACTAAAAAAATTAAATTATATAGACACACCTTCTTGAATTCTTCCCATTCTGTGTTCACTAATGCAAATGAATTTCTTTGAGCATTGTATAAATTCCGTGACTTGTTTCTCAAATATTTCCATCCTATGTATTTAGCTTTTAGATTATCAAAAGCATTTTTCAATTGTTTTTGTGAAGTATCCATGTCAAACTTTTTCTTTTAGAGCTTTCCCTAACGTAACCCAAGACTCCTTGTGCATGCTACCTAATTTTCTACCAATTTTGTTGACCTCTTAGATACACGTATCTAATAAACATTTTACTTGCTTGTTCGAACATTGTAGTTTTTCTCCTATTTAGAAAAGCTACATATAATAACTTTATAAAGTAAGTCCATGAAAGAATCGACTTAAAAAACTAAAAATAAAAAAACTTCATGATTCATATTTATGGATTACAACATGTTAAAGAAACAACATAAAATAGAAACATTTGATTCAAATGAATCTAAAGCTGATGACAAATAACATGATGTTGATCAAGAAAAAAAATCGAATAAAAGCACTACACTAGAAGCATGTAATGAAATCAACAACATTGAGAAATCAACAACATTGACAATGCATGCTTTGATAACATCAAATATACTTATTTTCAAGCATAGAGTACAACATTCTAATGTAGTTAAGTCTCATTGTTATGTGAATTGGTGTTATTCTGATCAGAACATCACATACTTCATACATTAAAAGGTACTTTGTGTGGTGAACAATGACTATACAAACACTTCTTGTAGAATTTTGCCTACTAAGTCAAATATATATACTAATTTTTAGTCTTAAAAAGATATGGTCTACCTATGAAATTCAACACCAAGTTCATATCCCCCTATTATTGCAATCAGAAATTCAATGGGTATTCAGGGTTTCTCAAAAATAGGAAGTTATTTGAGAAATCAACAACATTGAGGTTTTTAATTTACCATTATTGTAAAAAAAAGACTTGGCAATAATATTTCTTCAAGTTCACACAAAGTTTAAGTTATTTCTAATTGTAATCGATCAAGGTTGTTTGAGGCTTAATTACCTTATTGCATAAACTTCTAAAACAAGCACTCATTCTAATCAAAGGAATCACAACATGCTTCGGTAATGACTTTCTTACCGCAAATTGAAGCAAATAAGTGATGGGTTTTAGCCATAAGAACATCCTATGTGCTCATACAAACCCTAATGCTTGGATCTAGGTTTCTCTATTGTACATGTAATTCATCCAATACTTTAAACCCTAGATCTAGCATATGATAATCAATATTAACATAAGAATGGGTTTAAGATATTACCTTGATTGTTATGTAGCAATAATAATCTCAAATCCTCCTTGTAATGACTTTAGAAAGCTTAGAGTCACAAATGTCACTCCTCTAATGGTTCACAAACACCAAGAGCAAGAGGATGAAGAGGAGAAGAGAAGAGACACCCAAAAATGTGTAGAAACCCTAAGGATTCAGTTCACCACGTTTTTGGTGCCCAAGGGGTCCTTAAATAGTGAGGTTATTAGGGTTATCTAACAAGGAAACCCTAATTTGGATACTTAGGCCCCCAGAGGCCTTGGACGATTTCTAATGGGTTTCCCCATAGAATTCGTACACCCCTCTAATATGGAGTCGATTATCCCAATATTCAACTATCATACAATTGACAGTTCTAGTCCCTTAAGTTTAATTAATGTCTTTTAGCCACAAAATTAATTCTTAATTAATTATTGACTAATATTAATCAAACAATATGATTTCTCCTTTAATATATTATTCTCATAATATATTAATAAATCATAATTAATCATTTCTCTCCATAATTCATCCTATCAAGTTGTTTTGGTGAAGGCAACCCAAAAGGACCATGCACCATCGGGTCAAGTAGATACAAAAATAGTTATGGACTTAGACACTAATCCAACAGTCTCCCACTTGGATACGTCTAAAAACTATTCTGCGTATGACTTCAGATCCTGATCTGCAATCGTAGCTTTCCAAAGCCGCTGTCAACTCTGATCTTATCAGATACGCATGTCCTTTAGATAAGGGATTATATATTCCTCCATTCTAGATATCGTATAGATATGAGACATGAAATATAATCATTCTCTCTATGATGTTTCCCGATTTCCGGTTTATGATGACTGACAACAGACTACAATTGAACACATCAAATTAGTCCCAGCTTGGCCAAGTGCTTAGGTGCCATCACTAAATCATCGAAAGGCCCACATATATCTCTTTTATCCTACTTTGGATAAAAGGAACGGATAAACTTTGATTCAATGCTTGCTTGCACTCACTTACCGAATCACACACAACAATATGTTTTATAACACTAAGTTACTGGTGTGTTTCCATATTATCAATGTGAAATTGGTTCGCAAGATACAATTCACACATCTCGGTTTCAAGAATATACAATATTATCGACTCACAATCACGCGTGATCAAATCCATGTAATGATTCTTGTGAGCGTGGGTTTTATCCAATGCTCAAATCATATTCATAAGCACTGATGAACGTTGTAGCAAACATTTGCTTATATCTAATACTCTTTAGACAATTCACACACCAATTCACGACAGTCTTCATTAATACCTACATCCAACATATGAACGACTGTGGCCCATTCAAATAATTTGACTGTTCTAAACCAATTAAATTATTCAGGAAGTCAAAACATGCAAAGTGAAACACAAGAATAATACTAATCCTATATGGTCCCAAACCCTTGAGTATAAATAACACCCCTTTTATTTATAACCATATCGATTACTCATTATTTGTTGTTTCAAGTAATCAACTTCTTACCTGAATTATTACAACACTTGTCCCATGTTCTTAGCATGCACACAATGTTTACCTATGGTTCTTACTTTGTGAAATAGATCAATTGCACACATTTCCAATCATACTCATTTCACGACTCCTAATCCTTTTCACAAGTGAAAGAATATCAAATTCTTGCCACTTATAGAATATGCTAGATTCTAACATTTTATGCAATGATCCTTTCGTAATGTCATAGCACAAAAGTCACAATGACAATTGCCAATGAAATTACAAAGTTCTCTATTTGTGATTGTTACAATACAATTCTATAGACGTGATGTTTTTCTCTCAAAGTACATTCCTTTGAAAATCCTTTTGCATAAAATTCTCTAATCTAGACATAGACTCTCAATATCCAACTCCCAATATGGAACCATTTCCATATTTGCCATATGACAACTCATTCTTAATAGAATCTTATATATTCATAATAATGTTGATATGGTCCATCCAATATCATACTTCCAACTTCTCACAAGCGACCAATCCTCAGCGAGCTTTGGATCGTCCTTTGATAGTTGTTTAATTATCTTAGTCAAAACCGATTCTTGTCCTTATTTCCTCTTAATGCGCTAGTCATTTGGAAAATTTTAGAATGGTAAAATATTATAGCATTTTCAATCGATCCTATATCCAAAGCGTATGGGACATGATGCATAATGTCTTACATAAATATTTGATACTTTATCAATCTTCTGCCATAATTTTTTATGTGTCACGTTCTCACAATTCGAACTATGAAGAGGAATTCCGTAATCATACTTGAAATTTACGAACACACTATGTATCCTTAACTAAGTTTATTAACATTCCACAACCTGAGCCTCTAGTTATGAAATGAAGCATAATATTCTCTCCCTTAATTATAGCAAAACAACTATTCAATCCTTACAACTTTGCAAAGTATAACTCTTGTTTTCTATAATTAATATTGCTAACTTGAAATACTTTCCATAATAATCATACAAGCACAAAATTTATGCTCCCACTATCATGATGATTATTATCATATAATCATAGCACTTATGCTCCCACTAGCTTTGACATGTATTCAGAAACCAGCTTAACTTCCAGAAAAACAATACCTATTGAATTTCTTAAGTTCATGTTTCTAATACCTAATGCCTTGATAATCTTTTATCTAAGCTTATACACCTTTGCCTTAGATAGCTCATATGTGTGTCTAAACAATTCAGACTAATTGCCAAATCTCACAATTCGAATAATAGAAAGGGATACCGTAACAATAATCGAATTCGAGAATCCAATTTTCACAATCACCATCTTCTTAAAATTTATCTTAGTGAAAGCATTTCCTCACAATCATTTTCATGAAGGAGGGAATCTTATGACACTTAGATTTTAATGGTGTATGTGATCCTATCCATGTGAATATGTCAAAACCAAGGTTTGTGACAAATCCAAACTCATATGGACCGAACTTCTAAATCTTGATTTCTTGCCTTATGGCAACACGAGTGCCCACCATGTCTTCCAAGTAGTTAAACAACTCACTCTTTCCTGTAAATGTATTCTTCATTGATCAAGGTGCTTGCCTTCTATGCATTCAAATGAGAACTCATAGAACTCATATGCATAATTAACTCAATTGAAATGGCACATAAACAAGATAGTGTCAGCACGATAAGTTGTGAACCTCAACTCGTGTGCTAGTGATGATCGATAAGGTTTATTTTGATTGTTCTTGAAACCTTTTCAAGACCATTAAGACTCCCACTGACTCCTTGACATATAATATTCTCTTGACAATAAACTTTTCTTGACAGAAAAATATTCAAGAGTTCGTGTAGTTTTTATCAAGACAAAACACCACACAAAATTGGTCCTTGTTGATCTTTGTCTTATCCAAGACATTACAAATTACCAATTTCAAATGTGCAAGAATAAGAAAACCTTTTTCCAAATTCTACATTTGATGAATGTTATAAACCTTCTTAAGACTTGTCACTCAATGTCACAATCTTAACTCTAAGACTTGTTTTGGAACAAAGTACGATTGACCTTTTTGATTTAACCATTTCTTCAATTCTTGATTCCTCTTCTCAGTCATACCATTGTACTAAGACTCACTTAGAGAATCAATCAAGATATGGTTCTTAATCATTAAGACCTATCATAAAACATAATAAAAGGTACTCTCCCTTCTTCTTAGAATAGAGAAACTTTTATCTTTCTGCCTACTTGATTCTTCTTATTCGTTCTGCTATTGATTTAAACCTTTTCAATCAATTTAGAATTACACTTAATCTTATAAGTATAATCATATTTACTAAACTTTTAGTAAATCATGACGAATATCTTTGTCACTCTT